CTCAAATTCTTTCATGCCTATATAGGAGAACTGATATTGTATAACATTTCAATTCTTTTTGTGTTTGCAAGGAAATTTTCCTGTTGCTTAATACTCTGCTTAGATATTTGGAAGGGATCCTTTGCTATTCCAATCGGCTTTCGGATTTCTTTCGGATATTCATATATATATATATATATATATATATATATATATATATATATATATTTTGCAAACAAGGTTTTCGGTCTCTGTAAAAAGACTTTCTATATACTTACATTGTACTTGATAGGGTTGAAATTTGCATGTTGGGCTGATCTTTTGGCTTATAATCATATGACCATGCATCTGGTCTTCTTGCAATTGATCTTTAGTGCTTTCATCTCGCTTTCCTTTATTGCCGTCTGTAGGAGTTCTTGGAATTTCCTTTATGTCTCACCCCCCCAGGAAATGTTTAACAGATGACCGGAAATGCGACACCGAAATCTGAAAGCCGATTGGAATAGCAAAGGATCCCTTCCAAGCATCTAAGCAGAGTATTAAGGAACAGGAAAATTTCCATGCAAACACAAAAAGAATTGAAAAGTTATGCAATATCAGTTCTCCTATATAGGCATGAAAGAATTTGAGACAACAGAAATATTGTTCTATAGAAGGAGGTTGATTATATAATGGACTGATCATATGAGAAATGGCGGAGGTTTAGAGGAAAAAAAGAAAACAAAATGTACACGTATAATTAGAATCAGAAATAAACAGTTGAAATTTCTTGGGAACATAATGAATAACAAGAGGTTTACAAATTTAACAATCACAGGACATATTGAAAGAGGGACAGAGGAAATCAACCAATAAACCGCCCAATGATCGTCTGTAAATGGTTGAAAGTGTAGCGATTAGAAGTGATATTACAATGACCCACACTGCTAAAAGCTACACAGTTGTGGGGAGCCATGATCTCTCACATCCTAAATGACCCGGCAAATAGAAGAAGAAAAATATGTGGGCGCACTTCCATTAACATAAGAGATATGTTTGTATTCAATACTAGATCTGGGTCATAAAAGATGCCATTTTCAAAAAAAACAAAAATAAAAAAAAACAAATAAAACAAAAGGATTGCTAATTCCTTCATCATGAAGAACCGTAAATACAGTGTTGAATAAAATATTTGAATCGGAGATCATGGTTCTCCCTATTTTCCTGTCTTTTGTGATATTATATATCTCAGTCTCTGTTCTGTCATCAGTTTACACAAGCTCACTAGATAAGTTTATCTCATCACTTCTTGCGTTCAATATGACCTGAGAGTGTCAAATTCTCCAAGAACTATTTCCTGATTATATGTTCAAGAAATCACGACTGTAATTTTTTAATTCTAAGTGTCCCTTTTGTTTCTATTTTTCTCATAACTTCTTCGTTGCTCACATTTTCTGGCCAAGGTATTCTCAGAAACGATCTTATCCTCTTCTTTAAATATGGGAAAAACTGTCCGACATTCACTGTCGTATAAGTCTTATATTATATAGAAGTTAATCATTGTTCTTTTCTAGCGAAATTTTCCTGTTTCTTAAGAGTTTGCTAAGATTTTAGAGGGAATCTTTTTTTTTTCTGTTCCAATGTGTCTTCGGATGTCTGCATCAAATTTCCCGTCGCCTGTTATAACAAATCCCCAAAAATCAAATAGATGTATTTATTTTTTTCTAACGTCTCAAAATCTTAACTCGCATCACAATTGCTAACGAACATAATTTCTATCTTCTCAATACCGTATTAAATATGCAATCTCTTACTTGTCTTGATATTATGACTTACAGATAATTAAGTTTTGAAGTGATGATCCAATAAAACGTATCTAGCGAACAAGAATATCCTTTCACAACGGTTGATATACTTCTTTCAATGCCTCTGTTTTGGTGTATAATCTGAAACCTAAGCGAAGTTAATATAGAGAAAGCCACCCAAGTTCGTGACAAAACGATCTGAGAAAAAAATGATCATGTCCTACAATCATAAGTAAACTCATTATATTTCAGACTGTGTTAGCGTAAAGATTCATACATTCTCGTGTTTCGCGCCTAATCCATCATCGTCTGCTAAATACAATGGCGTTTTTCTTTACCGGCCATCCCGTTATGTCTTATGGGTTTAAGTGTCACTCGATCATTTCGTTCCATTGTAAGCAACGAAAAAAAATTCCTTCATTATTTCCCGCCCACTCAATAGAAATTTGGTGTTCAGCTGCCCACCAGGTTAAGACGAGAATCGTGCCATTTCCGAAGTCGTAAGCTGTCGTGAATGTCAAAGAGACGTTGAAATGTCTGCAATACTCGTGAGATGAATGTTTGCAGGCGTATCTGAGTGGTAGAAATGCTGACAGAGGGTCAACAGATATTTGTCACTTTTCAGTGAGATGACTAAAGATTTGATTAAAAAACAGCAAAAAAGTAACGAAATGAATGCCGTCATCCTTTCGTTTTTTTTCTATAATTCTGAATGATAAGCATTAATTTGTTGAAAAAAAATGTTTGAGGTAAATGATCTCTCTAACAGACGGGGTTTATTTAAGGTGTATATCCCACAATCATTTTTTAAGCAAGTGTAATGGAAATCAGAAATGTGTAATGTAGCCAGAAATTATATATATATATATATATATATATATATAGAAAGAAAGAAAGAACAGTAATATATATATATATATATGTTATAGTAAAAAAGGAAAGAATAATAATAATAATAATAATAATAATATATATATATATATATATATATAAGGAAAGAAAGAAAGAAAGAAAGAACAGTAATATATATATATATGTTATAGTAAAAAAGGAAAGAATAATAATAATAATATATATATATATATATATATATATATATATATATATAAAAGAAAGAAAGAAAGAAAGAACAGTAATATATATATATGTTATAGTAAAAAAGGAAAGAATAATAATAATAATAATAATAAAATAATAATATATATATATATATATATATATATATATATATATATATATATATATATATAAAAAAGGATCGCTTCTTGCTGGATTGATGGTATGTATTGTCATAATTTCTTTGAATCTTGTCCTTCTCAAATATTTCAACTAAAACAATCCATATATTTCCGATATATTAATGATGTTCTATTAATATCTCCCCGTGATAGTGAATTACCTGTTCTTGTAGATAAACCAAAAAGCCGAACATACAGTAGAATTTACATACGAAATAAAAGAAAACAATACTTGATTTTTCTTAGTTATCGGATTCTACTTAAAGGAACTCAGAAATTACAGCCCTCAATTTTTATCCGAAGAAGAGAAATATATAGAAAATAACATCAAGACGCTTCAATGGCTTAACTAGTTCAAAATAAATGCCAAATAAAAGGAACATAAAATGTTCCAAAATAGAAAAGCGGCCCTTGCTAAGAAACCCAACAAATCGAAGTATATACTGTTCTGCCCACTAACTTTATCACAACTACAATCGAAAAGAGTGTATCTAAATTCAACATAAAAATTTGTCCCAATTACATGTAAAACAATAAGATACTTAACCAATACAAAACGAAACAACGAACAAAACATGAAGGTAGAATTTATTCTACCACCTTCAAGTATTGCCAGAAAGAATATATTGGAGAAACATTAAGAAGTTTAAATAAATGATTATATGAACACAAAAGACTTTTTAAGAAACAATATATTAAACGCATTAGTTGCTCACCCTAAGGAGACCATAATGTTGACATAAAAGTTACTCTAATTAAAATAGAAAATATTTCACTAAGGCGAAAATGTTTACGAAGTACTTCAACCCCTAGTTCATCAGTAATTTACGTTTAGGTTCTGGTAACGTTTCACCATTCTTGGCAAATTTTCTGTTATCGTAATATGGGATATCTAATAACAAAGATCATGGAATAAATATAAAAATTCTAAATTTAAATTTCCCAACTTCTTTCGTTCGTGCTTATGTGTTCGTGCTTATGTGTTCGTGCTTATGTGTTCGTGTTTATGTGTTCGTGCATCAACATAAACAAAGTCACTGCGATGACGTCGAAAGGTATTAAACGTATTACGCGAATTCTTTTCCATATCATCATGAGTGTGTGTGTATGTGTGTGTGTGGACGATCTCGAAGTCAGACTGCTTTAAATGTCTTTCTCCCTTACAAGATTATATGTAATTTTTGTTTTTTTGACTGTGAACTCAAATAGCTTTCAAAATGCTGGCTGTCTACGTGTCCCCTTGACAACTAATGGTAGAACCACAGTATGCCTTCTAATGTCTTTTGACAAAGTGAAGAATGATAATGTAAAAATTTTCCCATATCGCTTAACATAAAGTTATATCGTCTAAATGTGTCTATTTAGCCAACTGAGACAATATATGGCTCTCCATTCGACTTCGGTTTATAAGGGTCTAACAGTTCTTAGAACCAAACAGCCATACCAATCACACGTTTAGAAAAAAAAGTCCGGTATGAATTGCGTCCCAAAACTCTCCAAAACGACCGTCTTCAGGTTTTGAATTCATAGTTTCCTTCTCTTAAAGCGTTTACCAACCAAGCATAAAGAGTCAGTTTTCCTTTTTTTTATTTAGCCCATATCGAGGGAGAGGCAAAGAGATGGATTTAGACCTTTCTCAGGAGTATTTGCACCTAATTGAATGTAACAAACACGACTGGAATTCAAAACAGTAGTCTTTGTTTTCTCTTTCTGAGATATTATCCATTACCCCCACACCCATAGATAGATAGATAGATAGATAGATAGATAGATAGATAGATAGATAGATAGATAGATAGATATGTGGGAGCAAAGATTGGATGTGAATCTTTCGTAACAATAAATACAGAAGATATCTTGTTAAATTTCTACATCCCGGTTCTTCTATGAATCATGTCAAAATGTACAGATCCATTCAACTCTCGGTGAATGCCATCCTTAATACAAGTATTTGCTTGCATAGTCGAATCTAAAGTATTTGCACAGTTCTTTACGAATCATTTTCCCCACTCAGGTGTTTCTGTTTTTGTATGCCTTTCGCATTATTTTTCTGCACCTTTCATACAAGATACGGTTTCTTCTTTTTATCCACACATGCTGCATTTTCGATTTTGTTACGTTTAATCCATTTACGACTTGTTACAATTAGTTTTAATTTTTAATTTATTTCGAATGCTGATTTTGTTTTTTGGTAATATTTGCGTTTAATTCTGTTTATAAAGTTGGGTCTCAGGAAGATTTTTTTTTTTTTTTTTTTTTAATTTATTATCTTTCTCGTCTTTATCATTATTATCAGTTTCCACTGATTTGATTATCATTATTATCAATTGTTTTTCAACTTAAAATGATTATGTTTGGATATGAGCAGTGGGTGAAGAATTTGAATGTTTACTTTCGGCAATATCAACCAATGACTGAATCCTTGTAAATTTCAGATTCCGAAGGGTGAGTAACACTCGAAATACAATTATCTCAAGGAGATTTTAGTTTAATTCTCATGAGAAGTAAAAAAAAAAGAAAAATTAAAATTGTGAACATAGAAATCTTTTTTTTTAAATGCATAGTTTTTTCTTAATATGGTGTTTCTTCAATGTCATGTGACATCAGGACGTGGGTGATCCTGGCTCTCTACAGATCACTTCTCTTTCATTTTTTAACTATTCTCCATACTTTTTTCATTCTCATTTTGACTTTTTTCGATCGTTTTTTTTTCAATTTCATATGCTGTCACAACGTAAGCGATCATAGCACTCCACAGATTAGTTTTCTTTAAGTTGTAAAATGTTTTCCATTCATTTTTCCCTTCTGCACATCTAATCTTTTTTTTTTCGTAAGAGATCATGGCTCTCCACAAGTTACTTTTATTTGATTTGTTAACTTTTGTCCATGCTTGATATATTTAATTCCTACTTTTTTGCTTTTAATATATTTCTTTCTTAAAATATCCCGCATTTGTTTTCTCTCCTATTTTTAGACACTCTTAATATCTTTCTCTCTTAATATCCCAGTCCTATGTTTCTGTCATAACAGATTTTTCTAATAATATTTTCCCCTTTTCATTTCTGAATGTGCGGTCGGTGCAATGGATAGCGACTCTAAATGAGAAATCGGAGAACCGAGTTCGAATTCCAGTCGGAATCGTTACATTCATTTTCGCGGTAATACGATGAAGGTGTGATCCATTTCCTCTCCCAGTCATGAGTTGAATATTAGAACCTGTACCTGGGAATATTATTGCTTTTCGAAAAATATTGTTAATGCAATTAAATGCATTAAATCCTCGCCAAGAATTTAATCTTGCATTCAAAATATTTGGGGATTTAATTATCAGAAAATTTAATGATAACCTCTTAAAAATTCTCTTAATATTTTTTTCTTAGAATCTTTCGCACTTAAATACTTTCTCTTGAAATGTATTTCCATGTGAAAATCTTTGTTTCTTATCTTTCTCCCATAAAAGTTTTCTCTCTTAATATCATTCTTTCTTAAAATCTTTATCACTTAAAATATTTGTTTATATTTCTCTCTCTCTCTCTCTCTCGTCTTCCTCAATTTTTTTCTTTCTTGAATTCCTTTTTTTCTTTTTTTTTTCTTTCTTTCTTTCTTGACGGCAGTTTCATTATTTTTTCTCCTAAAATTTCGTCATCTTTTCTATTACTCACGTTTTAATCGTTCTTATTATCATTGATGATAATGATGCTAATGATGACAACGCTATAAGTTCCTTATTCTTTTCTCTTTTTATTCCCTTGTTGTAGATGTTGTTACTGAAACACTCGTGATTATTACTCAAAATTGTGGCCTTACGGTTCCCACTTCATGTAGGAAAGATTTCACTATCCCTTAGACTACTAGCGCATCATCCCACGACCCTGAAGCCAGAAGAAGTCACACACAGCTATACCATCATCATCCTATCCGTATTCTATTTTGGAGAGAGGCCCAGCCCTAAAGATATTTTTCCGACGCGGAATTTTCTTCGGGTGGTGGAGATACCAAAACAGTGTCACCATTTGCTTGCGTTCGTTGGTAAGTAGAGGTGAGGGCTGTTAGCAAACCGGATATTGGTTCTGAAGTCTGTACGGTGCAGCTTCCGTTTCCGGAGCTGGTCGTCCCGAAAGCCTCTGACAATTCCCATAGCTTTCCTTCAAGCGAAAGAGATAAGAGCAGATATTAACCTGAACTCAGTCGGAAAGACGGACTAGGGACAACACATGGGAGGGGGGTTTAGAAATTAAAAAAAAAATTGGAAGGGCAGACGAGTTTGTCGATGAAATATAAGTGAGAAATAAACGGGGAGAAGAAAATGTAAAGACACTACAAAAACTGGAAGGTACGTTAAATGAAAAATGGGAAAGAAAAATGGCGGAAAAGGAAGACAGATGCAGTAACGTGAACGAAAGAAGAAAACAATTTGAATAATACAAGCTGCAGATGGTGATAATTCACCGAAAAAAAGAAATGAAACGATGCATCTAAGAGAAAGAAAGAAGGCAATACTTAAAATATAAATCTAGCGAAGATAGAAGAAGCATACATACATAATCGTCAAAGGTCTTATTAAAGATGCTAGAGGAAATTTTGTGTTGAATGGCGCGTTTAGAAGACGTTTAAATGCAAGTCAGCGATACTGACTCCTATCGGGCAGAAAAGTAGGACTTATCTTTTCATAAACAGCGTTACGTTACAAATACAACTATGAATTTCTTTGGCACTGTATTTGAAAGCGAAATATGAACTTTTATTTGTTTTAGTAATGGGGTTTTTTGGTCTTTTTTTTTTTGTTTTTTTTACCGTAAATCTTTGCATAAATTATTCTAAAAATTAATAATTTTTTCTCACTTTGTGATTTTTCATGCCAAAAATATATGATTTTTTTTTAACATCAGGAATAGACAGTTGACATTTTTATGGTGCGTAATAAGGAAAGAGAGCTCTGAAAATTTGATACTCAAGGAATAGATTGAAAACAAGAGGGAAAGAGGAAAAGGACGCATAACGTACCTAGCAAACTTGATTAAATGGTTGGCAGAACAATGTTTAGGAGGGATATCAAGAAAAAAATTATTAGGCACTACAAAGGGCAGGCAACAGTAACGAGCTATGATCGCCAATGTCCTAAAAAGACAGGCCATATAGAAGTAGCAGTAGTAGTAGTAGTAGTAGGAGGAGGAGCAATTCATCGATTATTGCTCACAAGAATTACCTTTTCTTTGTTATCTCTTTATCGCAATGACTCCTTAGGAAAATATTTGGGTAGCTTCCCTTTGCAATCTCTAACGTCTTTGAAGTCCGAGGTGCTCTACTCCTAGACTGGCTGTCACTCAAGGCTAGAGAGTTCTGTCTACGCTGCTATTTACCCCTTACTCTTGGTTGAGGAACAGACAAACAAAAGAACTACTAGATTTCTTACCGAAGATAATGGCGGTAAACGAGAAGAAAAGACTAAACATCAATTGCAAGAACACAGAATGCATGGTTGTTAGCAAAAGGTACAGCCAAACATGCAAATTACAGATCAAACAGAGAATCGTATTAACAGGTTACGGAAAGAGCGACACCAAAATTCGAAGGCACATTTTGATAGCGAAAGATGACTTGCAAAATATTAAGAAGAGTTTAATTTGACACTAAGAAAAGAGTACTGAACTGTTATGTAATATCTATCATCCTATATGGCAGAGAATGCCGGACAATCTCCTTACGGATGAAGCAACAGAAATATGGTTCTATAGAAGGATGCTGAAAATGGACCGAACACGTGAGTAACGATGACGACTTGGAGAAAATACCAAAAAATAACATTTTCTGGAGCTCATAATGGACAGACTGAACGTAAGAAAGACAGGGTGAAGCACACCACATCCGACATGGCGAGCTTGAGAGAATAAATGGCGGAGCAGCGACTTCATCATTTTAACGTTTTTGCACATTTCTTTCATTTGTCACTAATAGCGAAAATAGATAAACAAAGATTTTGGACTAGCATTTGTTTTTACAACATAAAACAGGACTAAGAAATTCCGTCCAAATTCCATCCGAGACAGCTTCGATCATTTTACAGAAATTCCCTATAATTCTCATTAACCTATGCCGAATCGTTAAATATCTAAGCAAAGAGAGACATCACTGCCATGCTAGAATGTTCGTGGGGATAAAGATTAAGTGAATCTACACTAGGGTATATGTTATTTATAAACATAGTCATGCAAGTACAAACATACATACTGGCTTATATACTGAGCACATTTTCTAATGTATGACAATTTTCACTCAGCCTCAGATGATTGGTTTAATAATCTCCTGATTCTCAAGGATCATTATGGTCGGGTATCTGAATTTTTCTTTGTTTTATTTATTCTTTTAAGTAGGAGAATGACACAGCAATAAAGAATTGTGGGTTCAATCAGGGTACTTGGGAACAAACCCAGACGAAGTCCATCGGAGCGGATTTTGTTACATGAACGGGTGCTATTTCTATTCTCACTTGCAATTTCGTGTTGATCTTACCAAAACCAGTCACCATACCGAGAGCTTTTGGCTGTGATGGGTGTGCCTCGTATACACATATCAGACAGTTTGTGTTGACGTGTATACTGGGTTTCGTATAGTTATACTCGATCCGTGCTGGGGTTTTTTTTTTTTTTTTTTTTTTAGAATTTACTGGCAAAATCACATAACTGTCGCTATTCGAAAAAGCCGAATTACTTCTTAGACGCGACAAAATTATTTCACAGACCAAAAAACGATATTACTCGTGCAGAAATATAAAACATCATCATCATCATCATCATAAGCGGATGGAGTCGCAGAGTCATGCGCATTTGAGCACCAGTCCAGCTCTCTTCACATATGTGGGTTAAAATCTGTTGAGGGTATTCACTGATGCTTAGTACTTTGAAGAACAAGTAAAACTTTTGAAATCCATCCTTCTACAGGTCAAGCGACCACCAATGTCCTCCAACTTCGCCTTGGTCACGGACAATTGGCCGTTAATACCAACGATGAAATCCACCACCTTGTCTACTGACGTCTGTTTAAAAAGCCCTCCGCCCAGTAATGCCATGTCATACCAGCACTGGCTGAAGTAAGGGATACACATAATAGATCCCATTCTAAAACCCTCTGATACTTCAACGGTCACCCGCCAAGAAGTTTCAGTTATTATTTTTAATCCTGCTGGATATCGTGAAAGGTTCCTTACCAGAAAAGCTTAGTTGTCCGATATAAATTCTACAGAACATTAAAATTCATACTCAAAATTCAGGAAAATTCTAAATCCAAGTTATTATAAAATGAAGATTCATTAGATAATCGTAAGTGTTATAGTAAGCTGGTGATATTATAAGACGAATCAGCAATATTATCGGTCCTGCCAGCTCGGCTTCAGTAACTTTCCCACTTATAAGGTTTCTTCCTTGTGTTGTTTCTTTAAATGCTTTCATGGTAAGTGATCGGATGACCTCTTCGCTATGGTACCTAGACTGTTTGAATTTAAGGGCAGTACTAGACTGATGTCGAGATCTAATTAGTTTACAACTGACCCCCTAGATGTAGCCGTAAATTCTAAGCTAACAGTTTCTATTCTCGCAATTTTCGCTTGTGGTACTCACTTTCGGTACCATGCTTTTCAGGCAACTTTAATCTGCAAAACTTTAAATGAAATGTCAATCACTATCTTCTGGCCGCCTGAATATTATTTTATCTTCCCGCTCATTAGTAACGTTTTCTGTTCCTAATTCTTCGTATGTCATAGTGGCTTTACTGCCTTGCTTGGAGTGAATACAAAAAAAAAAAACAAACAAAAAAAAAACCAGAAGAAAACATTCAACATTCATTGGCGGAAAAGTTAGTGTTGAATTCTATAAAATCTTTCGATGGAAATTTTTTAAGTTAAAATCATTCAGAAGTTTGATAACTGTTATTTCTAAGATAGTATGGAATATCGTCATCTTGATTATGACATTATTTTACATCACAGTTAAATGAATTAACCCTGTTTAAGTTTCTGCTACTGTTGGAAGTGTTGATATCGTTTTGATATTTTATAAAACTCTATAAATGCGATTGTTTTGCACCAATCTGTGATATGATGCTGGATCCCATTGTTTCAGACTTTATCGATTATTTCGCATGGAAACGGTGGAATATAAGTGATACTTTAGACATTTCTTAACGATTCATTTCCTTCTATTGTTGAAAATGGTAACGATAGGATTGACCGTTTCCATACATAAAACATTCGGCATTCATTGACAAGACAATTAATATTTATAAATCTGAATAGTATAACAGTCGAAATTTATAAAGACTTTCTCTTCAAACAGTTTTTTTAAGTAAATGATCTTCTCATGTACACTAATTATTACTGTTATTTCTCGTATCAATGGGTATTTCCTTTCTAACCTTTTCTGTGAACAGTGGAAGTCCTAACAGTATTCATTATTGGCGGACACAATCTTAACAGCATAAGATGTGCAATGACACCATGTGTAATACAAGACGGAGAAAGTAAACTACAAGAACTCCTAAAGAAATTAGTAATGATAAGCTATAGGAAAGGATTAAATATTAATTGCGAAAAGAAGGAATACGTGGTTGTTGACAAAAGGAACAGTATAGCATTTAATTTACAAACTGGGGATGCCAACATCAAGCAACAAAAATGTAAATATGTATGACCTGTCTTAACACAGGATGGAAACTGTGACATCGAAATCCGAAGACGCAGTTGGATCGTGCAAGATGTCTTCCAAAAGCCAAGCATAGTATTAAGTTAAACGAAAATTTCGTTAGAAACATAGAAAAGAATACTGAACTGTTCCGTAATATCAGTCCTTCTATATGACAGCAAATGTTGGAAAATCTCTTCGCAGATGAAGAAACTTGATGAAGAGACTTGGAAGCAGCATAAATGTGGTTCTACAGAAGGATGTTGAGAATAATATGAACTGAACATGTGAGAAACGACGAAGTTATAACAACAAAAAGGACGCTTATACTTAACACCAGGAAAAGACGATTGAAAGTCCTAGGACACCTAATGAAGAAAGATGGCTTGGGAAATTTCATACTCACAGGATAGAGTGAAGGTAAACGAGACAACAAAAACCAATTAACCTACCTCGCGAGTTTATGATTGGCAGAACAGGGTTTAGGAGAGATTTAAAAAAAACTAAATTTATTAAGAGTTACCAAAGATAGGATATAGCCATAATCGCCGTCGTCCTGAAGGGGTACGTTACTTAGAAACAGTGTGGAGTGTCACCATATTGATTTCACGAGCTCAAATTAGAGCATAATTTAAAGAGAGTAAGAAGCAGAAAAATATATAAAACTTGGTAAATTTATTTTAAATTATGGGCGCATGAAGGTGATATTAAAATTTATGTATTTATGTTTCTCCACAATTTCCACTGTTATTAATGTAAACTGTACTTATGTACATAAAAAATATTGGCGAGTTTAACATTGCCTTCCGTAGGGTTTTGTTTTAAAA